GCCGATAGTCTTTATCGGACGGAGGATGTAATTGGTCTAGGAACAAAGAGTTGTAAGGGCTCTTACGATTTTGCTCGGATCTGTCCCGTCGCGGGGAGGACAAGTCTAGGAAGAGGAGGCCGAGAACGACTTTAAAGGAGCGGATACCGGGGCCGAAGTCTTTTGAGGACCCCTTGTTTAGACTACCTTTGGTAAATAAAAAGCAAACAGAATACGCAATGCCGTGGAGTAATCCTTGCCTTGGAATTTTAATTTTTTTAATCAGTAAGACGACAATGCTGTGGTCTGTCTGGCTGCTGCGTCCCCGCCTCTAAAAGTGGCTGGGCTTTGGTTCTTTGAGGGGCTTTTCTGGACACTAGGGAATGAGCGTGGAGAGACGGATGGTCAACTTCGTGTGTGGAAGTCAAGCAGGAGAAGCCTGAGGGAAAGGGAAGACAAGGAGTAAACTCGGCATTCAAGTCCGAGTCAGGAGAGTGCCGTGTGTCCCTTACCGGTGTCCTGGTGTCGGAGAGTGGAGAGCTCCGAGTTCAAATGAGAGACTTTGAGAGCACCTTAGCAATTACGAATACATTGACTGGATGGCATGAGCCTTGCTGAAGAGGAGCTCCCGTTCCTCCTGAGCTCGGGGGACGACACCGGACGACATCGGCGCTTTCCCAAGTTTGGGGGACACTTGCTGAGCCACACGTATGTGGAATATCCCACATGAGACTGTGGCTTGAACTCCATCATCATGAGCCCCACTTTGACCGTTGCAACTGAGGCTGAGGTGGGAAAGCGGTCGCAGCGGCGGTGCATCATGAGCTACATACACCGAGCCGACACAGCGAAGCTACCTTATCAAGAATCACTACGTCAGATCGAGAGACGACCAATTCGATACCTGTTTGTTAGAGCCACATAGGACATCGTCGCATCGTTTCAGCGATCCACCGACACCCTCAGCCGGAACCGCCCCGGCCTGCGGACCTTCAAATCGGCCGCGCAACTCCAGGTCTCACAGCAGGCAGCTCCCGCATCCCGGCGCTCCCATCAACACCCTTCACGTCCCCCGTCAACATGGCGTTCTTAATTCTAGTCATTGGCGACCTCCACATCCCAGATCGCGCCCTCGACATCCCCCCAAAGGTACACACATCTCCTCCCTGCTCAACCCGGGCCACTCTCCTCTCTCCTCTCCCCCGCAACAGCTTCAGCAAGCTAACGCACACACTCCAAACAACAGTTCAAGAAGCTCCTCGCCCCAGGAAAGATCGGCCAGACCCTCTGCCTGGGCAACCTGACAGACAAGCACACGTACGAGTACCTCCGCACCATCGCCCCGGACCTCAAGATCGTAAAGGGCCGCTTCGACGTTGAGGCCACCAGCCTGCCCCTCACCCAGGTCGTCACCCACGGCTCCCTGCGCATCGGCTTCCTCGAGGGCTTCACCCTCGTCTCCAACGAGCCCGACCTCCTCCTCGCCGAGGCCAACAAGCTCGACGTCGACGTCCTCTGCTGGGGCGGCACCCACAAGTTCGACGCCTTTGAGTACATGGACAAGTTCTTCGTCAACCCCGGCAGCGCCACGGGCGCCTTCACTGCGGGCTGGGGCAAGGACGGGGAGGAGCCCGTCCCCAGCTTCTGTTTGATGGACGTGAGTACCATCCATTCATGGCCCTAAGCTAGCCGAGTCGGATTCTATCTAGTAGTGGGGCGAGCGTATGTCGTACTCGTTTTGCTGACAACCAGTCCAGGTGCAAGGGATTTCTCTCACTCTCTACGTATACCAACTACGGAAAGACGACAAAGGTAATGAGAACGTTGCTGTAGAAAAGGTGACATACACGAAGCCCGTGGAACCATCGGCAGCAGCATGAAACAGTGGCGCAATGACGACAGGAGACGGCGTTTAATCGAGGACATGGACATTTGCAAGAAAAAGTGGAAGATCCAGCCATCATCGACTGGTTATCATGATTCAAGACCACAAGAACGTAGGCAAATGATGATCATGATAATAATATAAGTTTCAGCCAGCCATTATTCGGGGCGTCAAGCTCGCTATGCTTCCCTATATGCACAATAAACCCAATCGCGTCTCCCTTGGTATCCCGACAGCAGTGACCCTTCGACGGGCTTACCCAAAAACATGGACAAAACAAGGAGAATGGTATTTGACAACGTATCCAACTCCCAAAAACACCAGTGCTAGCCGTCAGTCTCATCATGTGGTGGTCATTACAACATCATGCTCCTTCTCCGCATCGACACTTTGGAATTTGTTTCCTGAAAGTCGCTGCTGCTCTCCACACTCTCGAAGCTGCTATCTTCGACACTTTCTGCTTCTGCGCGATTCCTTTTGGGCAAGACCATCGACGCTCTCTTTCTAGGCCCACCGGATTTGGGTCGCTGGTTCACTTCTGCCCCCTCCCCTCTGAAGTCGTCCCTTGTGGCAGACGACGTTCGTCTCGATGACTTGGACTGGCGCGCTGGCAAAGCGAGATCCTTTGTATCAGCAACCCGAAACGTATCGCTAGCCGGAGTTGAAGCGGGGAACTCATAAGGGTCGGCTTCCCTCTCGGGCGACAAAGTCGATGGGCGGCTGGGCGTCTTCTCTAGGGGAATCGAGCTGCTAGTGTTTTGTTGAAAAGACCTCTGTCCTTCGCCATCGCTGATCGAGCCCGACATCATGGCAGACGACCGTTTCTTACGAAGTGGTTTCGCCACGGCGAGCAGCCGTTCCGGCGATGTCGGTTTATCAATGGGCTCGTGGGGGCTCTTCTGACTTTGCCGGCTGATTGCAGACGGCGAAGCAGCAGCCGCGATCTGCTGCCAAGTGGCATCGTCACTAGATTCGCGTTTGATTATTGGTGCCGCATCCGACGCAGATGGATCTGAACTGGCGCTGCCACTACGCTGAAGGTACCTCGTCTGACCAGTAACGGCGTCATAAAGTTCCTTCGTAGGGCGTCTCATCTTGTCACGCAGATTCGGCTCTGCGTAGCTGACCGAAGCTCGCGCCCTCCTGCTTGGCCGTGAAGTTTCGCCCTGAGAAGAGATATCGTTTGGCGGGGGTGTATCCCGAACACTTGGCAGGCTCATTCTAGATGCTGGCTCAGGGGATGCTGGTGATAGGAGAGCAGCTTCGATGGGTACGGTTTCTGTACTCGGCAGGACATCAACAGTGGGTGCTGGTGATGGCACAGTGGCAACGACAACTTCGACTGGCTCAGGCTCGGATCTGGATTCGGCCTCGGCTTCTCTGATCTTCTGCGCGGCCCGCTGGCTTGCAGCGCGCGGCTTCGGTTTCTCAGGGGCGATCTTGGAGTCATTCGTTGCGTCTTTGGAACTCTTCACAGGCGAAGCCATGTCGTCATTCGTGCTCTTGGCCGACAAAGGCTTTCTCGAGTTGACTGGTGCCGACATGCGTTCTCTTGCCTCACGGCGCCTGTTGGCGAGCTCTTTCAGGGTCTGTACGCTTGTTTGCTCGCGTGCCTCAAGCGGACGTTGCTCGAGCTCTTTCGACTTTGAGGGCTCGATGGGTGGTTTTGTGATTTTGGCAAGGTCGTCTCCCATGCTATGCTTTCTCTTTGACCCAGCCTTGACGACAATCGGAAGCACGGGGGGTAAGATGGGAGTCTCCTTGGGTGGGCGCTTGACATCGGGTCTGGCGTCTTCCGGTTTAGTTGCAGGATCGGGCCGCACAATGAGATTTCTCTCGGGCTTCTGTGTCGTTCGGGATACAGGTGATGGTGCCACTACTGGCGCTGGTGATGGCGATTTTACCGGCGAGCTGTTTGTGGCTGCCTGCGGTTCTACAGCACTCAGGGGTTGACGAGGGGATCCGATATCAACGGAGTCTGCATCGACGAATCGGGACATTGGGGGAGGACCAAGTTCGGGGGAATCAGTGGTATCGGCGTTGTCTGTTGTATCTGTCGTATCGGCGGCTTCTGAGCACAAAGCGAGAATCTGGTCACGGCTTGGCCTTGTTAGCACTACAAGCTTGATAACAACTGTCACAGCTGACTCACTCAAGTGTTGCTCTTGGATACGACTTGTTCTCTGTAATTGGCGGTAGACGGCCCTCCTGTAGCGCTCGAGCCTCTGTGTCCTTTACTGGCTCGCGTGGTGGCCGTCTCTGGGGAGGACTGCCACGCGGCAGACTTGCTCTGGAAATCCTTCTGCCTCGAGGGCTCGCGTGTCTCTTCGTGGGGGGTTCTTGACCGAGGTTGGAAAGGAGCGACATGCAGTCCATCAACTGGGATTCGAGTCTGGACCTGATGTCCAGGGCATGGTCTGCTATCCTCCGAGCATTGCTGTCCTCGAGCTCCTTCTCCAGCTCAATAATTCGGCCATTCAATTGGAGGTTTTCTGACAGGGAACGAGAATAATCTGCTTCGAGGTTGTGGATGCGATTCAAGTGAACAGCGTTTGCTCTGGCAAGGTCTCTGTTTTGGCGCAATAGCTTCCTGCGTACTACAATAACACAAGTTAGTCGACGAGATAAAGTCAAGACGAGAAAGTAAACATACGCGTGTCGATGCTATCTGTAGATACGGGGGGTTCGTTTAGTCGGGCCATGGTGCATTCTGGAGTAGTGAACAAAAAGCCAACGCGCGATGAGACCAAAATGTGAGGAATGGAAGAGTCAGATCAGCGAAGCATGACAAGAAGGTGGCTGGGACAGTGACGATGGGGTCGGGGGGAGGGAGAAAATTTACCGAAGTGTCATTTATTTACACTCGGCCTAATTGGGTCTAGGGTCAACAATGGTGCAGGGAAGAGGGGGTTGCTGGGGGCGCAATTGGACGGGTCTAGCTCTCCACCGCCTGCCGCATCCTTTTTCATGTGCTCACTCTCACCGAACCTTTGACGGTTTCTCTGACCTGCAGAACGCTTTCAGCCTTTTTTCATTCACTACCCCGCCACACCTTTCAGCTTTTCCCAACTCGAACCCGAAACACAACGAACTTCTTACATACGTACACCGATAGACTCATCTGCCACCTTCAGACATGTCCTTCCCGACTCGATCACTCTCGACTCGACTCCCGGGCGCGGGGTCGCAAAACGCTTCCGCAGGCCCGTCGCCCATGCTGGTAGCGCGCATCGCAGAGAAGAAGGCAGAGCTGGAGCACTTGAAGGATCTGCGCGACCTCAGTGCTGCCGTCGCAGGCCAGATGGAAGCACTGGAGCAGAAGCTGTCAACGCTTTCAGATGGTACAGAAGGTCAGCATGGCCCATCGAGGTACCCATGATGAGTCGCCAAGCTGACGGATGAAAGCGATTGCCATGGTTATTAGCAACTGGCATAACGTGCTACGCGCTATCAATATGGCATCCGGTCGGTTCAAGCTGCAGGCGACGCACATGACAGGAACTGACACGGAATTTGTAGCCCAACTTGCCAAGCCGCCTCCGCAAGAAGAAACGTTGGAATCGGAGGAACCCAGCATGTCTCTGCCGCAGACACTGGTTCGCATTCCGACAGAACACGCTCCGACGCTCCAGGCGCAGGCCGAAAACGCAGCAGAGAATGCAGAGAGCAGTATAGCTACGCCATGATAAGAGTTCACGAAATACGGGTCTTTGGCCCGAAAAGCAAAATATACCTTATGAAGCGGCAGCCTTCAAACCCGAGGTATTGTTGGTTGTTGACCACGTCAGCGCGTGTGCTACAGCATGCACGACCAGGCTTCTCGAGGTGCCTACACAATATGGTAGTTGCACATGGATCAGAAGCCTTTATTGGCTAATGGACCAGAACAATACGGAAGGAGTTTAAGGTAGCCTTGGGAAGCTCGTCTACGTTGGAACCGTTGTCGGCAGCTACCAGTTTGTGGCATGCCCAAGTGTTGGACGGAAAGCTACACCTCTTAGCGTCCTCTTCCGGCAGTTTGATGTCGGCGTTGGATTGGGCAGGGAAGCTCCACTCAAAGTCAACAAACACTAAGAAGTGAGGTGCGGGGTCCCAGACACCCAAATGGACGGGAAGGACGCGACTTGGAGTCTGAACGCGTCTCTTAGTCATCCCAATCTGGGCTCTCACCCGTCTCACCCGTTGGCCGTTGCCAGTGCCACGGATCAGATGCAGCGAAACGGGATGTGCCTCACCCCCGTGGCTCCCCGGAAGCCCTTGGCAAGCTGGTCCTTAGAACTCGGGAACGAGGGGATCTATCGAGCCTGCCGCGCCTGTGCTCATTTGCTGTTGGTTGGTGGCTTTATTGGGAGGAAACTGATAAGTAGGGGAAAGATCAAATTGAAGCCAATTTCCCACCATCTTGGTGGCTGTCAGGCTAGAAGTTCTTCTCTTCCACGTCATGCTGTTTGTCTTGCTTCCATTCCGCTTCCATCCCAAAGCACCAAGCACTTTAGCCCATCATATTCAAAGAGCTCTTCTTTTTGGACACCTTCAGCCTTCTCCTCCCCACTCTGTCTTGAACCAGAATCATACGGCCAATACCTACAAAGAGTGCCGTCTACGAAGTAGTGTTCCAGCCAATAACCCCGCCATATTACACGTACCCCAGCTGGTCTCAAGCGAAATTGCTCGCCAATCCCAGACAGCCCACTGTCTCCCACGTATCAAGGCCCATTTGTCTTTCAATTTGTCTGGGGTCGGTGGTTCCCTGTCTGGGTTCAGGTCGGAATCGGAGATTGTCGAGCATAATGGGTCGCCGCTCTCGATCCAACACCGTGGGCCACGGCTTCGGTATCCTCGAAGACACCTCTGGTCCCGGCCATTATGCTTCTTCTGACGCGAACGGCCCTCACCCCTTCAACAACGTTCCTGCTCTCGAAGATTGTGACACTAACAGTCGCCAAAGAACGCCGGAATTCATCGATGCTTTAACCGACAAACTCAAGGAATTACATATTTACAGTCCTAAGAAGAGCCGTGCCGACAGATCATTGCTGCAACCTGCGCGACGTCGCTCGACTCGATCTTCCATTGACACCAAGATCTTCCCAACCCTTCAACACATCAGGGAAGAAGTCGAAATCTGTGACGGAAACTCGAGTGTGACTAGCCCTACGCAAGGACCAGTCCTTGCCAACTTGCCTCAAGAGACTGAACAAGACGAGGGTATCCCATCATCAACTGAAACACGTGCTGCCGTACCTACTTCCCCTCGCCAGACGTCGGGTTCATTTGAAGCCAACGGATCCAACTTCTGTTCTGAAGGTTCGCTCATCCGATTGCTGCCATGTGGTCCCTCAACTAACCATATTAGTCCTGCGCGCAATTGGTCTCGAACAGCAACATCTTGACACTGATTTTAACATACAGAAGTCCATCGCACGGCACAGGTCAGGTCAGTATGACTATGTAATTTCGATCCCGAACCCAGACGGTCCGGCTAGGCGCAACAATGCGACCAGTAGACGAGGAGACGCCACGTACGATTACGGCTGCAACGTCTTAGTCCACACCGACCGCACTGAGGAAAGTCTCTGCAGTCAGCGCAAACCGGCTAATGCCTTCAAACTTCTAGCAACACCTCTGATATTTGACGAAGCATCTCGGAGTGCGTCATATTCATCTTCGAAAAACGACGACAACATGGCTGTTGCCGAACCGCTTGTTCGCATTGCCTCTCCAGCGCCTGCTGAGTACGAAAGCCCCATGAAGAAGTCTGCCATCAATGTTTCCGTCGTTGAACAGACTCACCTCAAGGAGTCATCTTTGGACTACGTGGAACACCCCAAAGACAGAGTAGTTTCCTTCTCATCTACGGACGAGAGCATGGCGCCAACGGAGGACGTTCCTCGCACTCCATCTAGGTCGACCTCAACCAGCTCGCGATCTCGAATTGAGGACTCCGTAGAAGCCATCGATAAACTCGAGGAGGAATTGGAGGCCATTAACACACGCTTGGCGACACCAAGCAAGTCGCGACGGATTCAATCTCTGTCGGATGAAACTACTACGACAGTTCCCAAAAAGGAATCACTCATCAAGCGGTCCGCCGCCACGTTGAACCGCACTCAATCTGTTGGTGCCACAGCCAAAAGATCGTCACAAAAGGGATCCCCTGGGAAAGCACCTACTACAAGGCCTCCTGTGGCTCGTCCAACCAGCCTTCTACCGCCCAAACCGCCTGCTAAATCCACGAGGGCTCCTACCAAGCCCTCTTTTGAGCTACCAGGTGAGGCCACCGCTCGCGATATCAAGGCGAGGCGCGACGCTCGCCTGGCTCAACAGGCCCAGGAGAAGGCCACTGCGGTAGTCCCTCAGCGAACCAGATCTCTCAAGGCCCCAACTAGGCCTAACTTTGAGCTGCCTGGCGAGGCAATCTCCAGGCGCAAGAGGGAGGAGCGAGAAGCTCGTCTCAAACAGCAAGAAGAGGATGAGCGAAGGCGTCGCGAGTTCAAGGCGAGTCCTATCAAGGCAAGGCTGGGAACGGCTGCTCAACCTCGAGAGACCGTGGCTAGTCGAGCTCGCCAGAACAAGGGGTCCGAGGCCAATGACATGGAAAGCCCGTCGAAGCGCTCATCGATCATGGGCACTCCTCGTACGCTTGCGAAAACGACTTCAACAAGGTCGCCACAGACTCGTGGCAGAGGTACCTCACAGTCAGGTACAGAGGCCCAGCTTAGCCGTGCTACGTCTACATCTACGGGTAGTATGAGCGGCAAGCGAAGCGCGCTGTCTGTTGAGGAGATTGAGCAGCAAAAGGTCAAGGGCCGCGAGGTCTTCCACCGCGACAACTCCTATACCCAAGACAAGGAGCGGGAGCGCCGTGAACGTGAGTGGAACGCTAAGATGGCCCGCGAGCAAGCTGCGGAACGCTCTAGGCAAGCGAGCCGAGAGTGGCGCGAAAAGCAACAACGCAGCAAGCTCGCTATTCTGGCTGCCGCGGCAGGCCAGACAGTGTGACTGGCCCGACGTAAGGATTTTGAGGCCCTATTTGGCAGGGTCTGGCCTTGTTTGTAAATTATTCGACCAGCGGATGGAGCCTGGCGCCTGTACTGATGGAGATGCGTGGAGTCTGGGGCAATGGTATCAACGGTTCAGCTGGTAAGGTTGAACAGACACTTGCCGTGTAGGAGTTTTGATGTTCAGTTTTAGAACTTGCTTTTGGTCTAGCATCGATATGGCGATTGCTGTCATTGTTCATAGCTTGCTTAGGCCCGTTGGTTGCTGCAAAAGAATTTCTCTTAAACCATGAGTTCAACTCCAGTGATGCTAGTGAGTACTTGTAGATCAACAATGCCATTTTCAGATCAATGATAGTACATGTGGTCCATAGGAACATTGACCGCCTATGGCAGAGATGAGAATAGTTGATTTGTGGGAAGCTTAAGGCAGGTATTCATCAATGAACAAGACGACGCGTTGTAGAGTGTGACCCGGGGTATGTTGACAACGCGGACCGCACGGCCGGCTAGCGTGCCGGCGCTAGCGGAGCACGCCAACGACATCCGCTTCCAGCGGATGAGTCGCTCGTCTTCAACCTTTCATTACATCGACATCGAAGTAATTGCAGGATTGATAAAATCGGAGAAGAAGAAAAATTAGGCCAGCAATCAAACATATATCGGCATCAATCCTCCACAACCCAATTCTTGGTACTTTACAGCGAACAAACCTACCGGAACATGAGCCCCGCATCCTCGACCCCGTCCCGAGACCAGCGGCCGACGGTCCGTCTGGATCAGGGAGCCTTTGTCGGCACCACGCTCTCTGAACCCGACTTCCCGCGCGGCGTGGAGGCGTTCCTCGGCGTGCCGTATGCCAAGTGCCTTCGCCTTCGCCGGCCGGAGGCGCCGGGCCAGTCTGGCGACTCGTTTGATGCGGCCGAGTATGGACCCGTGTGTCCCACCGCGGACCCGACGTACCCGGCGGACGAAGAAGGGTGTTTGAACGCCAATATCTTTCGTCCAGCAGGGGAAGTGGTGGGAGGGAAGAAGAGGGTCCCGGTTTTAGTGTATAGTACGTCCTTGTTTTTCCCTTTTCCAGCCGATGGTGCGGCCTTTTTGAAGTACCTAACGTATGTACTAACAGTAGTCGAATCTAGCGCATGGCGGGGCCTTCAACTTTGGGAGGGGAGGGGACAGGAACCTTGCGGCCTTTGTATCGTTTTCGAAGCGTGATTTGGTTGCCGTGAGCTTCAATTACCGCCTTGGGCCGCTGGGTTTCCTCCCGTGTGGTGTTGCTGCCGGGGAAGGCATCGCGAATTTGGGGTTGATGGATCAGAGGGCGCTGCTCGAATGGGTGCAGCGCAATATCAGCAGGTTTGGCGGAGATGAGGGGGATGTCACGGTCATGGGCTTCAGCGCCGGGGCGCATTCGGTATGGTTTCTTATCCTGCTACCCCCCCCCCCCCCCGCCCCCCTTCTCCTCACCAGCTTCCATCTCCATGTTTATGTTGGCCTCGACACCCGCTATGGTGCAGTCATGATGGTAAGTCCAAACGAGATGCTAACACGCAAGCACACAGCTCGGTCACCACCTTCTCTCCCCGCCCTCGCGCCGCCTCTTCCACCGCGCCATTCTCGAATCCGGCGCTCCGACAGCCCGCTCCGTCCTCGCGGCCACGCATCCCCGCCACGAGGCCCAATTCACCCGCTTCCTAACCCACGCAGGCCTGTCCAACTTCTCCTCAACACCAGATGAGATCCTGCCCGCCCTCCGCGCCCTGCCCCTTGAGAAGTTCCTCCAGGCCTCGCTGGCCACCTGGTCAGAGTGCGCCCCTTCGGTCCAATGGCCCTTTCAACCATCCATCGAGGGAAGCAGCAGCGGCAGCAGCAACGACGGCAACAACAGCAGCATAATCCCTCTCGCCCCAATCAAAACCTGGACCTCGCCCACCCTCCTCCCGACGACCCTCCCGCCCCTCCTAACAGGCTTCAACACCTCCGAAGGCACGATGTTCGCGCCCGCAACAGCCTCCTCCCCGACAGCCCTCTCAGACTTCTTCTCCACCCTCATCCCTGCCCTCTCCGCCGCAGACCTCGCGACCCTAGAGACACTGTACCCGCCGCCGTCGACGTACCCGGCCCCTCCGACGGCCTCCCACGGCGCCCAGTTCCGGCGGCTGGCGCAGGCGTACGGGCACTACGGATACATTGCCCCGCTCCTCCACTCGGCGCACTTTGCCTCCAAGAAGAAGACTACCGAGAACGCCGACGCACCCGCTCCGGTCTGGGTATACGAGTACGCCGCGCACGCCGACCTCGCCGCCGCAAACCACGGCGACCACGTCCCCGCCGCCACACACGACACGGACATCCTCACACCGCACAAGACGCCCGGCCTACTCGCCGTATCGGACGCAATGCACGCCCACTGGTCCGTCTTCGCCACGACCTCCGACCCCAACGCCGTCGACGACGTCAGCCACGATTCCCCGAACCCGAACACGAGCGGCGTCTCCTGGCCCCTCTTCATCTCTCCCTTTGGCGGCACCGCCGCGGACGACTACATCCCGAAACCGGCAGACGACCCCACGGAGACGAGGGGCAAGATCCTCGTCTTTGGCGAGGGCAACGACGAGCTCATGGGCCGTCTGGGACAGCGGCGCCGAGGCACTGTGGCGCGCGTGCGGACATTGACCGAGGCCGAGGTGAGGCAGTTCCGGTTCTGGTGGGATCGGGTTGGGTTGAGCGAGGGTATGGGTGTTGCCGAAGAGGAGGGGTCCAAGTTGTAGGAGAACCTATGATGGATTGATTCGATTGTGAGTGGGAAAGTTAAAGGTTAGCCAGATACAGACTCTCCGCTTAAGTGATTTAAAATGAAGCAGTACGATAAAGCGACAGCAATGAATGCAAGATTAGATTGACAAAGGAATATTCATTCATACGTGTCTATATGAGACTGTCTTTCGAAATCTTGGCGATCTCGACTATCCTAATCTGTTACTACCTACTACTATACTAAAATCCTCCAATTTTTCTTGTGCGGAAGCTCGCTCTCTGCCGCCAAGGTAGTCTTGATTGCTTTGCCCAAGATATCAGCAAATCACGTTGCCTGTGCGCACTCTTCGTTGACTTGCTATGTACAACAGATCAGACCGGAGCAACACGCTATGGGCAGCATTGATCGGAATAAATCTCCGAGATATTTATGTATATGACGAATAAATCATATGCGTCGAAGTGGATTATGATCTCCGGGGCATTTGGCAAGCCATTACGTGTGGAATACGCCAGGCAAGCCAGCGGAGTAAACGATATTAAAAGTAAAAGAAGCGTCGCGAGGCAGGAAAATGCCACCGTGCCGCATGGTTCCGTAAATCCGTAACGCCGTATGTGTTTCTCGATTTCGAGATCGTTGGCCTGATGGGGATGGTGGGTATCTTCGGAACAGAACCCCAGCAGACTAATAAGCAACAAACAAAACTTTTATGATAACACACCAGACCTTGTCTAGAAGTTCTGGGAGATGCCAGCGTTTTGTTGTTGGGGATAGTGCGAAGGGTTCTCAATCCGAGTGTTGCGACGAGCTGGGTTGTCGCGGATGACCGGCTGGCCGGGAAGCTCAGTGGCCGGGTTGGCGTAGGGGCTGTCGGAGTACGGGTTGTTGGCGTACTGGTCGTAGTAACCGTTGCCGTTGCCATTACCGTTGCTGCCACCGCCGCTGTATGCCATGCCGATTCCGTCAGAGGTATCTGAGTGGTTTCCTGCGCTGTAGGAAGATGACGCATTGGAAGGTCCACGTTGAACGCCGCCTCCACGGTTCATGGCTGCAGAAGGGCCCATGGCGCCAAGAATCTCGCCATCAGGTGAGTACGAGCCATCGTTGATCAAAGGCTCTCCTGAACGGTTGTCAGTTCCTCCATGGCTGGGTGAAGTTGTATCCGAGTATGCCGCACCTGTGTTGCCTCCGGACATGGTCGTGGACGCCTTACGTCCGGTGGAGCCGGCAAGAGTGGTAGAACCCCAACCACGGTATCCGGATGAGGCCGCATCTTCCTTCATTTCGTACGAGCCGCCATCGCCAAGTGACGGGATGGTGGGGTCCGCATTCGGATTGTAAGCATAGTCTTCAACCTCCTTTCGTCGCTCCTCCTCGGCGTCCTTGCGCTGCTTTCTCTTTCTCCAGAAGTACAGGCCGGCCAGAATGAGCAGGGCAACAGCAGCAATGGGTACGACAACGGCAACCGCAATAGTGCCCCCGTTACCGAGACCACCCTTGGAGTTACCACCGGAGTTGATGGCGCCGCCTGAGGCCGTAGCGGAAGCAGATGAGCTGGCAGCAGTTCCGGTCTGTGTGACGCCCTTGGTCTGAGTGATGACGGTAAAAATGGTGCTTGTCTGGCCTCCTGCTTCGGTCGGCGTGATGACGACAGTAGTCGCGACTAGGGTTGTTTGCTGTTGCTGGGTAGTACTTTCGGCAGCTTGAGTAGTCGGAGTAGTGTTCTGCTGCTGAGTAGTTGGTGCAGCTGCCGCAGAAGTCGTCGCTGCTGGAGCTTGAGACGTTGTTGGTGCTGCTGCCGCCGAGGTTTGCTGCGTCGTGGGTTGTTGCGCGGTGGTGGGAGCCGCTGCCGCGGAGGTCTCTGCCGGAGGAGTGGTGGTGGTGACGGCGGCGGCGCTCGTCTCTGCGGGTGCCGAAGTGCCCGGTGTCGCGGCGGGGGCCGTTGTGGCCTCGCCTCCCGGAGTCGTAGCATTCGACGACATTGTGTTTTCCTGTCTCAGCAAGATCTGTGGCGGTTGACTAGGTGGTGAAGACATATTAGCGACTGGCGAGGGAGCAGGTTTGATGGCATCGCCAGACTCCGAACAAGGGATGACGGGTATTCAACAAAACAAGACGAAGGAATAGTTTAGATGGGACGACGAGTTGGGCAATTGGCAACCAAGGCAGAAGACCCAATCATTTTGTGCGCAACTAACACAACAGATGCAGCAGGTTTCTTGGGAGGCAAATTGATGATC